TTGAAGGCTGCAGTGAGCCATGATCATGCCATTGTACTCCAACCTGGGGATAAGCAAAACTCAGTCTCAAAAGAAAAAGGAATAGGATATTTTGATACTTTAAAGTCGTAGTGATTAGCTTCTGAAAACCACACACCTAGGAACATCTGAATGGCCCTAAATAAACGCACGCATGCACACACGCACACACACACATAGAGAGAGAGAGAGAAAGAGAGAGAGAGAGAGAGAGACAGAGAGTTGCTTCTCAACTTACGATGGACTTATCTGGATGTAATCTCATCATAAATTGAGGAGCATACAGGATGCAAGCATCCTAAGTCAGGAACTGCCTGTATATCACCATGATTATAACTGTGCTGTAAGTATTTACGGTTTTCATGTCCCTGACTTCTCTCACCTATATGCCTCTGCTCAGGACGTTCCTTCTTTGGGAACTCTCTTCGCCTTCTCCCCTACCCACACGCTGCAGCCCACCTCTCTAATGTCTGTTATCCCTTAACGCTCACCTCAAACATCATCTGTCTAAGGAAGAGCAGCGCCCCTGCTTCCTCCCCTACTTGGTCCAGGACTGAGTTGATGTTCTTCTACCAGCAACTCTTGCACATAGTCACAATTGTTAGTATTGATGCTTTCATTCTGTCTCCCACAACTAGACTGTGAGCATCTTGAGGGAAGAGACCGCGTCTCCTTTGTTTTCATATGTCCTGACTCATCACAACACCCGATGCCTTTCACCTAGTAGCATATTATGTAAGATGAAGGAATTATGAACAAATGCATGAATTTCCACTGCTATTGCCTCACCTCATCAAACTACAGCAATAGCATCCTAATGTGTCTCTCTGCAGCCAGGCTCAAGCCCTATTCAATACACCTCCTCACCACTGTGAAGATGATCTTTTAAGAATGCAAACTGACAGGGTGCAGTGGCTTACGCCTGTAATCCCAGCACTGTGGGAGGCCAAGGCAGGTAGATCACCTGAGGTCAGGAGTTGGAGAGCAGCCTGGCTAACATGGCAAAACCCTGTCTCTGCTAAAAATACAAAAATTAGCAAGGCATGGTGACACGTGCCTGTAATCCCAGCTACTTGGGAGGCTGAGGCAGGAGAATTACTTGAACCTGGGAGGCAGAGGTTGCACTGAGCTGAGATCACACCACTACACTCCAGCCTGGGCTACAGAGTGAGACTCCGTCTCAGAAAAAATAAATAAATAAAAAATACAAACGGATCATATCAGCTCCTGCTTAAAATACATCATTAGTTTCCCATAATCTGAGAGGAAGGGTCCCATCCCTTTACCATGGTGCACGTGACCCTCTCCCCTGCCTTCTTCCCAGTCCCCCCACTTGCCAGTACCCGGTGTGCCCTCCAACCCCAGCTGTAAGGAACATGCCTCCCTCCCTCCCCTGCCTTTGTGCAGGCTGTTCCACCACCTGGAACAGCCACATCCCACCCTCCCTGTGAGTTTCCACTCGACCTTTGAGACTGAGCCGGAGCACATCTTCTGGGAAGTTTTCCCACCCTTGAATTGGCTGCATTATATTTCAGTGCTTGAGAAATAGATTGTTAAAGTAATCTCATTTTAGTCATCTCAGGTCTTTATACAGTGTTACATTTTTCTGTGAGCCTAACTTCACATATGCTTGTGCTTCTGAACATCCAGTATCTTCATGCTTCCTCCTTGATGACTGCGGCTTCCCAGAATAACCTTTTCCCCTCTGTCTTCCCCAGGCATCTTTCCCACAGCATTACTCTAGCATTTGCGTTCTATTCATCTTTATTTCTACTTATTTATCTTTTATTTATTTATTTTCCGTTAAACTTAGGGATCCTTCTAGAGAAGGAATTTCTTTGGCTAGGTGTGGTGGCTCACACCCATAATCCCAGCACTTTGGGAGGCCAAGGCGGGTGGACCACCTGAGGTCAGGAGTTCGAGACTAGCCTGGCTAACACGGTGAAACTCCATTTCTACTAAAAACAACAAAAACTTAGGCAGGCATGGTGGTGGGCATCTGTAATCCCAGCTACTTGGAAAGTTGAGGCATAAGAGTCTCTTGAACCCGGGAGGTGGAGGGTGCAGTGAGCCAAGATTATGCCACTGCATTCCAGCCTGGGCAACAGAGCAAGACTCTGTCTCAAAAAAAAGAGAAGAAATTTTTGTCCTGTTCATCTTTACACCCTCAGCACCGAAGGCAACAGCACCCAGCATTTTCCCCAACATAGTATCCAGTAAGTGTTTGCTAAAGAAATATATCGAAGAATGAATGGATTAATTAATTAACTAATCAGAAGGTGAGGGTAGCCAATGTGTTAATCTAGTGAAATCGTGGTGGATATTTCATTACTTTATTCTTGTTGTACTTGTTATTAATTGATTTATTCTTGTTTATTCTTATTACTTTATAAATTCTTAGACATAATAACTTTCAATGAAAGGCAAACACTTATTCATCCTTTGAGCTCAGGAAGCTGTTGCTATTGCCCCTACCGTGCAAATGAGCTGTGGCAGCCCCATAGGAGAGCTTGGAACTATGAGTTCCAAGCAAGTGGCCTGGGATTCCAACATGCAATCAAGGTGAAAAACTATTGATGTGGAGAAAAACAGAAGGAAACAGTAGGCTGGTTTCCTCCTAAACCTCATGAAGCTGGATGCTGCGTGAGCCTGGCTGGTTACATTAGGAAATGCTGTCTACGCTGCCAGTCCATCCACCCCCTGGCTCTGTTTTGTCCTGCTTTCCCAGAGCGTCCTAACAAAGTAATCGATGCAATGTCCAACCTTGTTTGGAAAAGAGAGCTTTCTGTACTTTGGTTGTGAAAAGTGGGGGTTCTGCTGGTGGGGAGCGCAACTTCAGTGGACTTGCAGCAGTGGGGAGGGCAAGAGCAGGTCTCGGCCCCAGCTGCCCCCTCCTCCTAGTATGATTAAGCTCACTGCTGCTCTTCTGTGACGTCTTCCACCTTCAAATTTGTCTTGATGTTTGCCTTAAGCTGAGTTCCCCCTTCTTCCTGGAACCCTAAATTTGACAAAGGCACTTCCGCCCCCAAATAAAATATAGGTATATTCTCTTTTTCTCCAGTATGCACCAGGACACGACAGGGTATGCCTGCCTTCTCATTCAGCCAGCCAAGAAATCAGATGCTGGATGGTACACGTTGTCAGCCAAGAACGAAGCCGGCATCGTGTCGTGCACTGCCAGGCTGGATATATACGGTAAGTATAATGCTGTCAGTTGAACATCTGTATGCAACTGTTAGCTTACAAATCTTTCTTTAAAGATAAGTGGGCCGGGCAAGGTGACTCACGCCTGTAATCCCAGCACTTCGGGAGGCCGAGGCAGGCAGATCACCTGAGGTCAGGAGTTCAAGACCAGCCTGGTCAACATGGTGAAACCCCACCTTCACTAAAAATACAAAAATTAGCCAGGCATGGTGGCACATGCCTGTAATCCCAGCTACTCAGGTAGCTGAGGCAGGAGAATCGCTTGAACCCAGGAGGCAGAGGTTGCAGTGACCCGAGATTGTACCGCTGTCTCATCCTGGTTACCTCAGGGCATTACTTTTACATTTTACTATGAGCTTAACCTTCTTCCAAAAGAGGGCCTCTAATATCAGGAATTACAGCTAGTCCAGAGTTTCCAAGTGCTTGTGCTTCTGAACATCCAATGTTTTCTTGCCATCTCCTTGCTGCTGCGGGCTACCCACTGGAACTTCCCACTACCTGTGATCCCCGGCAGAATTTTTGACACTCCTTTCATTTATTCATTTAACAAATGTGTATTGCTCCAATCCCCCAATCAGACGTCTCTAATAATAGAGAGCTGTCCTAATAATGATAATATCAAGTGACATTTGTAGAATGACACATAGGATCCCCTCTCTCTTCCAAAGGCGGGATCCAAAGTGATACCCTTAAATCTCCCAGACCCATGAGATTATTATAATTGTAGTTACCTTCATCTAAGGCTGAAGATCACATGAGAGTAACAACATTGTACAGGCTGTCCCACCACCTGGAACAGCCCGCCCCACCCTCCCTGTGAGTTTCCACTCAACCTTTTAGACTGAGCTGGAGCACGTCTTCCGGGAAGCTCCCCTACACTTGAATTGGCTGTGTTATATATTTAGTGGAAGGGTCAGAGAGGTTAGTGACTACAGCTAGGAAGCAAATCTAGGCCTTTGCATTGTTTCTTTGAACCACATTTCCAATTTTCAAAAGGATCCAAGAAATTGATTTTTATTTATGTATTTGTGTAGTCAATCCTACACTTTTTGACATTAACTGGTATTTTTGGAGACATATTTCTTAACCCAAAAGAGTGTTTCTTTTTTTTTAATCTTTTTTTTAAAAAACATAATTGAAGTCTCACATTCAAAACTGGCTTAACCTGATTAACCAACATAATAAATAAGAGTAGCTCTGTCTATTGCCTGATAGACGTCTCTGTTATTTATGGGTACACAGCAGGTATTCCGTTTGTTTAGTACCATGCAGGAGGGGCTTCAGCCTGCCATTTTCCCTAGGTCTAGTTTTCGGAGAAAATATGTAATTTTCTGGTTATTTTCCCTTATCCTAGGACTTGAGAAGAAATTAAACTGTGAAGGAAGCAGACACTAATGTGCTTTTCCCTGGAAAAATCGGGGGAGAAAGAGGCCAATAGTGATAGGTTCCTTAATCAAGGCTAAGTCCTTAGCCATTTCCCAGTCTTCACCAAGTCAGAAGGCAGTAGGTCTCCAACTGAGAAACTCCCTACCAATAAGCCCTGAAACAGATGACTCTTGTGCCAATCCTGCCCTCCAGTGGCTGAGTTTCCAGGTCACTTTGTCCTGGCTCTCCTCTCCCTTTCATTCCTGTCCTGCTTCCATAGCACCAACGATAGGCAGTGCTGTTTCCTCAGCTGGGACCTAGGATGGAGAAGGCGTGGAGGACTTGGGCTGGAATCAGTTCCCTTCCCCACCACCACACTTCCTGCCTTTCTGAGGAATGGGGACACGTAGGGCTCCCCTCGCTCTTCTCTCACTTCCTAATCCTAGGAACTGCAGTAGTCCAGTTATGATGTCAGAGAGAGCAGGGAAGGGCTAAGAGATGGAGGGGCTGGGAGGAGAGACTGTGCACGAGCAGGCCTTACTGAGTGTCTGCTCTTTAGTGAAACTGCTCTAGGTTTGGTCCCCCAGATTTTTATTTTTCCGAATTCACTCAGAGGTATGTAGACTGAAAAACTGAATCAAGATGATGAAATCAACAAAGGACCAATTTCTAAATTGGAATGCTAGAAAGGGGCACAGCTTTCCAGGACCCACAGCATGAGAGTTCCCCATGTAGGGAACACGCTTCTCCACATCAAAGTACCCAGAAACCTAATCAGAAGATTGCCTGGTAATTTCTGAATCAGGAACCACCGCAGAGACTATGAAGTTTGGATGGGTATCTCACTCAGGCCATGTTCAAACCTTAAAGTCATGTCTGCTAAAAACAGCAGCACTTGGTGAACATAGAAACTCTAATAAATTGTCTTTTGTCCCTGAACCATGGTTGATTGTACCTAAATTACTTTTCAGTCTCCTTGTTGTAACAATAGAACCTGACTGGGGAGATGGGTAGATAAGTAATGGCTGATGAGGGTGATTAGGGTGTGAGGTAGGCACTGCTCAGGTCAAACCCATTGTTTGGCTTTCATTTCTGCAGCTTTCTTATCTCTATCTTTTGAGGTACCCTCTTTGAGAGCCTTTTTGAGAGCCTACAACCCTCTGTACACTGCCCCTAACAGGCCTTCATGGTAGGCTGGTGGAAGGGGATAAGCTTGAGAAATCGCCCTAGTCACTCACCCTTCCATCTTATAGAATTCTTTTTTTTTTTTTTTTTTTTTTTTGAGATGGAGTCTCACTCTGTCACTTAGGTGAAGTGGCATGCCTTGGCGTGATCTTGGCTCACTGCAACCGCCACCTCCTGGGTTCAAGTGATTCTCATGCCTCAGCTTCCTGAGTAGCTGGGATTAGAGGTGTATGCCACCATGTCCAGCTCATTTTTGTATTTAGTAGAAACTGGGTTTCACCGTGTTGGCCAGCCTGGTCTTGAACTCCTGAGCTCAAGTGATGTGCCCGCCTCAGCCTCCCAAAGTGCTGGGATTACAGGCATGAGCCACTGTGCCTGGCCCCATCTTAGAGGAATTCTAATCTCTCACTTGTAGGATTCTATTATCTTACTGAATTAGAGTCACAGATTTTGGAATTAGGGGCTTAAGACATCGCCAGCACAGTTTCCTTATTCCTGGCAGGGAAGGCTTTATTGTTCTCTTCTACAGATGAGGCAATTCAGACCCAGATATAGTTACATGCTTTACCAAGAATCTGCAGGGAGCATCAGGGTGAGGACCGAATGCGCCTCTGCAGTGTACCTGCTGGACTTCATTCCTTTGATCATAACACATTATTTGGTCCATTTTCCAGCTCAGTGGCACCATCAGATCCCACCGCCCATGTCTGTCCGGCCCAGCGGCAGTCGCTACGGATCTCTCACCAGTAAAGGACTTGACATATTTTCTGCCTTTTCCTCCATGGAAAGCACGATTGTGTATTCATGCTCTTCTCGGAGCGTGGTGGAGAGTGATGAACTTTAAGAATGTCTGGGTGCCTGCTGTGTAACACAGCGGACTGTGGAGGGGGAATGAGAACAAGCCAGACTTGGTGGTTTCCAAACAATCGAAGTTGAGTAAGTTCCCATGCTGCTGGACCTGTGGCAAGGAGTGCTTTGAACAAGTCAGCTAGGGATTCTTGCAGTCTCAGCTGGGGGAGAAAGGTAGGGCCGTGCCTTCTAAAGATTCCAACAGAGATGTGAGAAGATAATACAGATGAACCAAAGATGTCACACAGTTGCCATCCACTGCTTTGGGAAAAAACTAGCATGTTCCCCTGCCCCCTGTTGTGTTAGGGATGTTTAGGTTGTACTAGGAGCAATTAGGAGCAATATGCCTGGGCTGAGAGGAGTTAGGCAGTAGTGACCTTAGGATATAACTAACTCACCAAACAATGCCAAGGAGAAAGGTGGGGAGGTCACCATCGCCTTTCATCGATTACATGTATAGCAGTAGTTTTGGTGAATTCACTAAATCAGCTTCCACTTAGCATTAGGAGGTCATGCCATACAACTCACGTATGCAGACAGACACTTTTGATTTGCATATCCTGGGTGTACTGAGCCACATAATAAGGTGTCAAAATGTGCTTGAGAGTCCAAAAACTCACTGAAACAGTTGATATTGCACAGTGCACTTGTTTTGTGGCCAAAACATGGCCTTACCAGCTTGTCTGCACCATTTTCTTTTGGGTGGTGACTGGTTTTTTCTGACTTTGCATATCCCTAGACACTAGAACTAAAGGATTGTTAATAAGCCAATCAGAAAGAAATCCTCTGCGGGGTCACTTTAAAAACTACTAGCTTCTACTGCCACTTACAAAATGTGCAAGAGTCATCATTTACCCACAAAATACACCTCACGCGCTCCTACCCCTCTCCCCAAAAGTCTGAAAGTGCAGGAGGAAGGAAGAGATACAAACAAGGAGAGGAAATGATGGGAGAGGGTTGTTTCTGTCACTTGCCCCAGCAGAGCAGTGGTTTTGGAAGCAGAGGTCTTTAATCGCTTTGAAATGCTTTGAGATCATTAGTCAAATTGCATTTTCTATGTAGAAAATATTCTGCTAAGTGGAAAAGTTGGGGGAAAGGGGAATATGCATCTTTATTCTAATCACCAATTCAAACCCTGCCTCTTAAGGAATTTTTAGACTTAAGTTCACTGTGATATCCCTAGTGCCTAGAAGAGTACCTAGCACAAAGTAGACATTCAATAAATATTTGCTGGATGAATGAATCTTCTATTATTATGTCTATTATAAGATAGCCTAGTCTTATATTCTGCAGGAGTATACCACCCACACACCAGTCCAAACACTGCCCTGGGAACGCTCATGATAGCACAGTTTGCTCTAGGCTGTCCAGGGAAATGAATTGCAGGTGTCTGTTACCAATTCCCTGTGCTCTAATCTCTGATGCTGTCTGTGCCAAGCACCCCCAGCTGGCATTGTATTTGTGTGAACAGATAGTAACTGCTTAGAAAGGCTTGAAACTTTCTTCACTTCAAGGCAAGGATTTCCAGCATAAAAATAAATTCATTCACTCGAGAAATCATTTGTATGTCTACTCTGTATGAGATGCTGTGCTAGATACTGAGGCAGATATAAAGATATGAATAAGTCACAGTCCCTGCCCTCAGAGAGCTCACAACCTACTAGAGAAGGTAATATTTGAGGCATGCAGAATGCTGTCTCTTGAAGCAAAGTAGAAGTTTCTAGTGCTCTTCGTTCTATTTTTTCATAACTTTAAAAATATTTTCAATCTTTATTTCTTAATAAAACAAAATGACATAGGTTACATCCCCAAGCAATAACTATTTCAATTATTCAGCAGGATTATTAGATTCTGTTTTTTAATGTATTCAGTAACAGTAATGCAATATAGGCACCCTTAATGGAATATAATGCATTTCATATGGAATCCAGTAAAATATTGTTTCCATATTGACTTCTATTATGAGATCTCTTATAAACAAAGAGCACTTTTTTTCTTTCTTTCTTTCTTTTTTTTTTTTAATGGAGTCTTGCTGTCACCCAGGCTTCAGTGCAATGCCACAATCTTGGCTTACTGCAACCTCTGCCTCCCAGGTTCCAGCGATTCTCCTGCCTCAGCCTCCCAAGTAGCTGGGATTACAGGCACGCAACACCACGCCTGGCTAATTTTTGTATTTTTTGTAGAGACGGGGTTTCGCTGTGTTGGCCAGGCTGGTCTCGAACTCCTGACCTCAAGTGATCCACCCACCTCAGCCTCCCAAAGTGCTGGGATTACAGGCGTAAGCCACCGTGTCCAGCTTAAAGAGCACTTTCTAACTCCAGGACTGCTTCTAGATTGTACACTAGACCTCCCCATCACACCTACTTCTGTAAACCCTAGATAGTTCTCCCATGAAAGGATGTTCTTCATCTCTGTGTCTTAGCTTTCTGAATTTTTTCTCTCGCCTTTAGTGTTCAACAGAGAACTAGGATAAATATTACATTTGGCCACTAGATGGCACTCTCACTCCCAAATATTAACAGGCCTAACAATTCCTGAAATTTGAGCTATTAGATTATATTAAAGCAGGGTTTCCCAACCTCAAGGGTACTGACACTTTGGACTGGATAATTCTTTGTTATGGCGGACTGTCCTGTGCATTGTAGAATGTTTAGCAGCATCCCTGGCCTCTACCCACTAGTTGTTCTTCCCCAAGTTGTGGCAGCCCAAAATGTCTCCAGACCTGGCCATATGTTCCCTAAAAGGCAGCATACCCCTTTGTTGAGAACCACTGTGTCAAACAAATCAGGGCCCTGCTTTAAGAATTCCACTAGAATTCAACCCAGCACGATGACTCATGCCTGTAATTCCGGCACTTTGGGAGGCCTAGGCAGGAGGATCGCTTGAGCCCAAGAGTTCGAGGCCAGCCTAAGCAAATAGCAAAACTCTATCTCTGCAAAATATTAACTTTAAAAAAAGAATCCAATTAGAATTCAATTACATTGAGGAATATTTGAATAAAAATTTTAGTTCCATTGGATGTTTGTTTTCAACATATCCAAAATCAGATTCATCTTCCCTTTATAAATCATTCCTTAATCAGTTTAATGATTTCTGTTAATGGCACCATCAACGTTCTTCATAATTCTAATAAGAAACATCCAAGTCAGTTTTTGCTTCCTCTACCCTATCAATGGACAAGTCCTGCTAATTCTACTTCTATCATTCTTCTTATAGTCAGGAGTTTCTTCCTTTCCCCTGCAGTGCTCCAGTTCAGACTTCCATTACTTCCTTCACTTGCACTCAATAATAGTCGTGTTTTTTGTTTGTTTGTTTGTTTGTTTGTTTGTTTTTGAGATGGAGTCTTGCTCTGTCACCCAGCCTGGAGTGCAGTGGTACAGTCTTGGCTCACTGCAACCTCTGCCTCCTGGGTTCAAGCAATTCTCCTGCCTCAACCTCCCGAGTAGCTGGGAATACAGATGTGAGCCATCACACACAACTAATTTTTGTATTTTTAGTAGAGACGGGGTTTCACCATATTGGCCAAGTTGGTCTTGAACTCCTGACCTCAAGTGATATGCCTGCCTTGGCCTCCCAAAGTGCTGGGATTACAGGCATGAGCCACCAGGTCTGGCCACTTGACCTCAATACTTCTGACTTCAGCCATAACGTACTCCTTCTGGTCTTCCTGCCTCTAGTCCTGCTGTTTCTCCCTACTCAATAACTGCTCCAGTTATATTAATATTATTTCAAGTGTTCAAACCCCTAATGGCTACCTGGAGCCAACTCAGGTACCAGCTGACCTGCCCTGTGCTACCCTAATATGATCCCAAAGCTTTTCATCCATTACTCAGAAAACGTACCCAACACAGCAGCAAACCACACACAAGACCCCGCTTCCCAGCCACATGCCTTTCTTCTGCTTTTGCCTGGAAGGTTCTCCTCAGTCTCCACCTACGGAAGCCTTATCAGTTCCTTCAAGTCCATCTCAAATGCCATTACCTCTGATATATTTTAGGATCTCCTAAAATAGAACCAAATACATCTCCAACCAAATGGAATTCTACTTTCTTTGAAGACTTATACAAAATTCCTTGAGTCTGGAGGAAGAAAAGATTACTTTCTACAGTGTTTTTTTGTTTGTTTGTTTTTGAGACAGAGTCTCACTCTGTCGCCCAGGCTAGGGTGCAGGGGTGTGATCTCATTGCAACATCTGCCTCCTAGGGTTCAAGCAATTCTCATGCCTCAGCCTCCCGAGATAGCTGGGATTGCAGGCACCCCCCACCACGCCTGGCTAATTTTTGTAATTTTAGTAGAGACGGGGTTTCACCATGTTAGCCAAGCCGGTCTAGAACTCCTGACCTCAAGCAATCCACCAGCCTTAGTCTCCCAAAGTGCTGGGACTACAGGTATGAGCCACTGCACCTGGCCTCTACAGTGTTTTGTACAGAACACAGCCTCTGTGTACCTGCCTGCCCTCCCTCTTGCACTAGCCCACTCTTGTTTGCATTAGGTTTTGGCTACTTGTTGGTACGGACTGTGTCAGGTGTTTGTCTTCATGCCTTATATAGAGTAGTCACTCAATAAATATTTATCGACCTAAATGGAATTTTAAATCATATATAAGTAAGTTTATTTCTATATAAAGTGTATTCAGTCTAAGCAATGATTGTTAACCTTTCCTGCACATTAAAATCTCCTGGGGAGATTTTTAAAAAATCTCAACACCCAGGCCATTTCTCAAATCAACTGAATCAATAGCCCTGGGGTTGTGACACAGGCATCAGTAGTTTTTAAAGCTTCCCAGGTGATTCCGATGAGCAACCAAGGTTGAGAAGAATCATTTCATTACCATGATTTGATCATAGAACTTACCTGTAAAAGTCTGAAGGGATGCAGATGGCACAAAACTGTAGTGCTGGAATCCATGAGGAAGGTACTGCCCTGGTTACACGTGCAGTATGTGCCCGGAAAATAGAAATAAGCACACACACTGGCTTTTACAACATTGGCTTTATTAGACCCTACTATTTTGTGCTACATTCGTTAGACATGCAGCATTCATGAAACCCCCAAAGGAAGCTCAGAAACCTGCAAAAAATGGACCAAGGAAAGAAGGAAAGTTGATGCAATTTGCCTCGCCATTTATTTCAAAAATCTATGCAGATCCCATGAGCACCCTTCTCTTCAAGCAACTGAAGGGCTTTTCATAACTTAACTAGTCATGGCATTGGGGATCAGAGGGAAAAATGGAGAAAGAAAATGCACTGTTTAAACCAAAACTGCCTTTTTGAGATATATCACTCTTCACCAAACTAAGGATTTACTCAGAATTTCCAAATAGCAGAACTGGTTTAAATGCATCCTTCTCTTTTTATTCATCACTTAACTTTTGTAGGCATTCAATAAGAAAACATGGTCAATAGACAAGCAGCAAGTAGACTTAGGGCCCTGAAGGACATGTACCCGGAAGAATCATTCCCAGAGGAGTCAAAAGATGACTTTGGTAAGGACGGTCTCACCTGCATAATCCTCAAATGATAAACGGGTTGTGCTCCACATACTCATTTGTAAAGTGGTTGTTTAAAACTGAGACTATATTTCCTTATACACATATCACCCAACGCTAGATTCCCAAGTGAATCCAGAGAACCCCGTCTAATTCATGACTGATTATAGCACAGAAATACCTCCTTTTACTGCATCTCACTTCACTGTGCTTCGCAGATACTGCAGTTTTTACAAATTGAACGTCGGTAGCAACCCTGCGAGAACATGTGCTCTCACTGCCTGTTTCTGTGTCACATTTTGGTAATTCTGGCAACAATTCAAAATTTCAACATTATGATGTAGTTATGGTGATCTGTGTTCAGGGATCTTCGATGTTGCTATTATAATTGCTTTGGGGCACCAAGAACTGCACCCACAGAAGGCAGCAAATTCAATCGCTACATGTTCTCTGTGTTCTGACAGCTCTACCAACTGGCTGTTCCCACATCTCTCTCCCTCTCCTTGGGCCTCCCTAGTCCCTGAGACTCCGCAATATTGAAATTAGGACAATTAATAACCCTACATTGGCCTCTAACTGTTCAAGTGAAAGAAAGAGTAGTACGTCTCTCACTTTAAATCAAAAGCTAGAAATGATTGAGCTTTGAGAGGAAGACACGTCAAAAGCTGAGCTAGGCCACAAGCTAGACCTCTTGTGCCTGTTAACCAAGTTGTGAATGCAACGGAAAAGTTCTTGAAGGAAGTAAATGCTACGCCAGTGAACACAAAAATGATAAGAAAGCAAAACAGCCTTATTGCTGATATGGAGAAAGTTTGAGTGGTCTGGATAGAAGATCAAAGCAGTCACAACATTCGCATAAGCCAAAGCCTAGTCAGAGCAAAGTCCTAATTCTCTTCAATTCTGTGAAGGCTGAGCGAGGTGAGAAAGCTGCAGAAGAAAAGTTGGAAGTAAGGCCAGGCGTGAGGCTCACGCCTGTAATCCCAGCACTTTGGGAGGCCAAGGTGAGTAGATCACGAAGTCAGGAGATCAAGAATATCCTGGCTAACATGGTGAAACCCCGTCTCCACTA